CAGTGCAGAGCCCAGGGTGGTGCTCCATCTCAAGAACTATGAGATCATGACCTGAGTCAAAATCAAGAGTCAGCCGCTTAACTGACTGAGCCACTTAGGTGCCCCTCGCAAGGAGAATAATTTAACTTGCAGCTCTGTGGGTACTAAAAGCTGCACACATAAAAATAGCTATTTTTAAGACTTCACTATGATTTTGTTTAAAAAAAACTGTCATGGTAAATAAATGAAAGATAATACGAACAATTTTAATTTATGGTTAATTTTTGCAAATTCACATTTTGCCTTTAGGTACATGGGTGCAAATTCTTTTTAAGAATTTATCCAATGGTATAAAACCCCAAGTTTGGATATATAGTACTTCTAAGTTTCAGATTTAATACTCTTTCCCATTTAGAGGTCATATATCTCTTTTTCTGTATTAAAATGTATTTGATAAGGATATGATAATTAAATATTTTCAGTGTTAGCATAATTAGATATATTTCTTGACCAAGCAGGCAATTCTTTTCAAAACTGTTTTCAGTAAAAACTCCAGTGAAAAGTACGGATTGATGTTAGATAATAGCATTTCAAGTTTTGTTTTCTTTTAATTGGTTGAGCTCAATAGTGAAGTTTAGATTGTAATCATCCTAATGGGTTCTCCTTAAAACTTTGCATTCTTTGGTTCTATTCAACAAAAACAAAAAAGTGTGTTTCAAATTGATTCCTGAATGATCTGAAATAGTCTGTTAAGTATTTGAAATTGAATAAATGTCTTGGTAACCTGAAATTTGGTCTCATTTGTGAGGCTCTAGTGCTGTCACTGGAACAGAATCTTTCACTTTTCATGAGGTTGAAAAGAAAAGAGACTAAAGAAAGTAGTTATCTGAAGTTATATTGTGATAGTACATTCTTTCAAGGAGACATTTAAACATGAATATCAGAGTCTGAATTTCTCTTCTTTGACAAATTTAAATGAAAATAGCCAGGTCAATTGTTCATATTAATAGAATATGATAATACAGAATTAAATGAATAGAAGTTAATAGAAATCTATGAAGGTTATTACATCAAAGTGCTTCCAATAGCACACAAATCAACTAGAGCTCTTTAAAAAAAAATTTTTTTTACATTTATTTATTTTTGAGAGACAGACAGAGGGCACAAGTCAGGGAGGGGCAGAGAGAGGATTGAGACACAAAATCTGAAGTAGGTTCCAGGCTCTGAGCTATCTACACAGAGCCTGATGTGGGGCTCAAACTCACAAACTGTGAGATCATGACCTGAGCCGAAGTTGGACACTTAACTGATTGAGCCACCCAAGCGCCCCAATTAGAGCTCTTATTGACTATTTTATCATAAAATTTAGAATAAAGGGAAATAAATAAATATTGTTGTGGGTGGATCATTTCATATTAATGTCACTAGCTTTATTCATTGAGTACCCACTAATATACCTGACATGGTATATTTATGCTGTTCTCTTCAGGATTCTTTTTGAGATAATGTTTAATTATATTGCCTAGGGGAGCCTGGGTGGCTCAGTCGGTTAAGCTTCTGACTTCTGCTCAGGTCATGATCTCACAATTCATGAGTTCAAGAACCGCATCAGGCTCTATGCGGACAGCTCAGAGCCTGGAGCCTGCTCGGGATTCTGTCTCCCTCTCTATCTGCCCTTTCCCCACTCATGCTCTCTCTGTCACTCAAAAATAAGTAAACATTAAAAAAAATTTTTTTTAATTATATTGTCCTAGGTTAGAGTCTCTTCTAGGCTAATGTGTTATCACTGCATTGCTTTAAACCCCTCTAAAAGCTTTTTGTTTGTTGTTTATAATCTATAGGGAAATAGGATAAAATGACAAAAATTTTAAATAATTTTTTGTGTTGTAAAATGAGTGGCTTAAAAAAAAGTTTCTATTGGGAATGCAAATTGGTACAGCCAGTCTGGAAAACAGTATGGACGTTCCTCAAAAAATTATAAGTAGAACTACCCTATGACCCAGCAATCGCACTACTAGGTATTTATCCAAGGGATATGGGTATGCTGTTTAGAAAGGGCACATGCCCCCCAATGTTTATAGCAGCATTATCAACAATAGCCAAAGTATGGAAAGAGCCACAATGTCCATTGATGGATGAATGGATAAAGAAGATGTGGTATATATGCAATGGAGTATTACTTGGCAATTAAAAATAATGAAATCTTGCCATTTGCAACTACGTGGATGGAACTAAAGGGTATTACGCTAAGTGAAATTAGTCAGAGAAAGACAAATGTCATATGACTTCATTCATATGAGGACTTTAAGACACAGAACGGATGAACACAAGGGAAGGGAAGCAAAAATAATATAAAAACAGGGAGGGGGACAAAACATAAGAGACTCTTAAATATGGAGAAAAAACAGAGGGTTATTGGAGGGGTAGTGGGAGGGGGGAATGGGCTAAATGGGTAAGAGGCATTAAGGAATTTACTCCTGAAATCATTGTTGCACTATATGCTAACTAACTTGGATGTAAATTAAAAAATTAAATTAAATTTAAAAAAGAAGACTACTGTGGGGGGGGAGGGTGGATAAAGACACGTCTCTGACTTCAACAATCTTATAGACTGGTGAAAGACATATAAACCCATAATGAAATAAGTGCTAATTGTGCAAAAAAACCCCACAAAGAACAAACTGAGGGTTGATGGGGGGCAGGGAAGTGGGAAATGGGTGATAGGCATTAAGGAGGGCACTTGTTGGGATAAGCACTGGGTGTTGTATGTAAGCAATGAATCATGGGAATCTACTCCCAAAGCCAAGAGCACACTGTATACACTGTACGTAGCTAAGTTGACAATAAATTACATTAAAAAAAAAAAAAAGAAAGGAAAAAGAAAAAAAAACATTTCTTGGAGTAAAGGGGACAATGACCTATTCATGCAATGAGTGTTATGCAGCAGTTTAAAACCATACTTTAAACGAATATTTAATGATGTTCAAGCATGATCAAGTGCAAAGAGCAGAATGCAAAACTATATGTAGAAAATACCAGTATTTTCAGATTGGTAGATTGGTATATGTAGTACACAGGAAAGAAGAAGACCAAAATGATAATGGCGATTTTGTCTGAGTGGGACTGGGTGTGATTTATTTATTTTTTATATGATATTTTGAAAATAATTAATAGTTAACAGCAAACATTTTCTGGTTATACAACTAATAAATATCATTAAAATAAATAAAATTGGGGTGTCTGTGTTGGTTGAGGAGCCCGACATTGGGCTCAGTCTCACCACTGTGAGATCATGACCCGAGCCGAAATCAAGAGTCAGATGCTTGACCAACTGAGCCACCCAGGTGCCCCTGCAGACTTTTATATAGTCAGTAAATGCAGCCCAGCTATTTGCATCCAACCCAAGCAGAGAGTGGAAAAGGATAGGTTGCCAGATTCACATCATCAAAATATGGAACCAAACTAATTGGTTCTGCATCTTCAGATGTATGCCCTTGTAACTTTCATTTCATCCATTCACTTTGTTTATGTGGTAATTATTTCTTGGGCACCTTCCATTTGCTGAGCCCTGTGCTGGTTGCTTGGGATGGAAAGAATAAAACATATCCCTGTCTTAAAGATATCAGGGTAACCTAGAGGAAAAGAACAATGGTTGTGTCTCCCTTGGGGTTTCCCTCACTTTCCTCCCTCAGCAGGGAGTAAGAGAAGCACACAGTGACAGGCAGGAAGGGATTTGCAACAAGCTTCTCTTGGAAGGGGAGACCTGAGGGAAAGCAGAACACAAAGACTCCTTAAGGAAACAACCATCTGAGCTGATAGCACCTGGTCACAGAAGCATCTGCATCCTTAACAACACCTTTCTCTAGAATCTGTAATTAGAGGCTGTCCCTGGACACTCTGGACCCTGAGCTTGGGGGGAGGCGTCTTGGTTCTTTGGAGACCGTGTGGCCCTAGGGATAAATGTCAGGGAGATGGAAGGGGAGGCAAAGCCAGCTGGTTTCAACAGAGCTCTGAAGTTGTGTGTGCGTGTTTGCACACATATATGTATCTCATCACTAACCGGGTTATTCCTGGCTGTCTGGCCAGCGATCACTCTTTCCCCTCCTGTACATAATCCCTAAAAGCTTTGGGAACACTTAAAAATTGTTCTTTCTCTTCCCCGTCCAGATTTATTTAATAAATAGAGCCCAGGCAAAATTATTTGTTCTGGTGGCCATGGCTGCTGACCAGTGACCGAGGCCCTGTCTTCTGCCACCTATGGCCATGAACCCCTGGAGACAGGGATGTCTCAGAATACAACACTTGGCCCAAAGATAAGGACCTGAGTGGCTGGACCTTCAGCTTCTGTTTCTAAGTGAAAATTGTATCAAGAGTGTGAATGTTGGTTATGATTGCGTTCAGTATTTTGAAATGAACTATGTCAGTTAAATGACGCAAAGGCTGGCATCTGATAGATCTCATTTCTGATCAAGCTGCAGAACTCATCCTGGCCTGCCAGGGGCATCTGTCCTGAAGCCATCATAATAAAGGTCTTAGAGCAAGAGGAGGTTGGGAACACAAGGGGATACAAGGTTTGAGGGCACTCTGCACAGAGTTTGGAAGGTGCTGGTAGTAACAGGAGACGGGGAGTAATTATCGAACCACCCTGTGTTTCATTTTTAATTTGCGCTAATGGGCCTTGTAGTGCTCTCTGTAGAAGATCTTGTAGAAGGTCTCCGGATCTCCTGGACTGCTTTTGATCAGAAAGGGGAAGAGAGAACTTGTTCAGAAGTCTCGATACAGCACTTGAATTCTTTAGCTGTTCTAAGGTACTTAGTGGGGCTTGAAGGCTGTGTTCGGGAATGAACATCAAGATTTCACTTGGAGGGCAGCCCTCCGCTGGCAGTGACGGAAGTAATGGTTTCCCAAAGGATTTTGAAAAGCCATCAGTTCCCGACTTTTCTAAGTGAAAGCTGCTTCTCACTTTTCTTTATCTTCTTTTTCTTGACAGTCCCAGCAGAAATGCATTGTGATCTTCGCCCTGGTATGCTGCTTTGCCATTCTTGTCGCGTTGATATTTTCTGCCGTGGACATCATGGGAGAGGATGAGGATGGTCTCTCAGAAAAAAATTGTCAAAATAAATGTCGGTAAGAGGTAACAAACAAAACTTCTCTTTTAGGGGGTGGGCAGGAAAGCCAAAGAGAACCCTAGACAGTGGAGAGAAAATTAGAAACGCATGTGATCATCCATCATCCCCTTGGGCTGAAGCTGAGGCAGGAGTCTGTCCAGCCGATGCTCGTACTTTTTAGACCAAGGGAATGAACATGAACCATGATTTCATTCAATTTCAGTTCTATACAGTTTGGACATACTCTGTAGGGAGGGATGGTTGACAAGGTGAAATTTTGTACAGTCTGCATTTCTGGAGACCCCTCTCTATGAGGTTTTGGTTTGTTTCGTGATCAGCCTGGAAAAAATGAGTGCCCCAAATGGACAAAGGGCACCATGCTAGCTGTCACGTCAAATGGAAGGTAAAAAAGCACCCATCTCAGGAAAAATTCCAACTTAAACTTTGGGATTAAATAAATCAGAGTGTCCTATAAGAAGACAGACATCTCCTCAATCTGTCTCTATGTATGTATTATGTCTCTTCAGTTACCTTAAATAACATTTCTTTGGGGTCATCCCTGACCGGCAGAGCCTTCAGAGCATGGTTTTTATCCCCATAAATCTCATCCAACTGTTTGTAAGCTGTTACTTTTTAAATTTTAGGTCATGGAGAGGGTGTAGGAAAGTGTCAAGGTGGTGGGGAGATAGATAAGGAGTCTATTTTTATTACATGTTACTGCAGAGCTGAAGTTAGGGCACACAACTACAATAGTTAGTATAAACTAGAGGTTATAAATGAATTTTAATTGTAATTTTTCCCTGTGGCAAGCATTAGTCTAAGTGCCCCTCTTTTCTGGCTTAAGATCAACAGCAACTTGGTAATGTGTACTTGAGTTTTTATCTTGGATATTTTTCCTTGAGGGTTGAACGTAAGACACAAAAAGCGTCTGGATAAGACAATTGAAGTTTTTTTTTTTTTTTTTTTAACCCATGGTACATTACAGTCTAGTTGCCAGACAGCAATATTCTATACAGAACAAAGGATACAAAAGAGAAATGAGCATACATTTTGGATTTATTCTAACTTGTTGGGAAGGGGCTCCTAAATATATTTACTTCCCAGACTTTATTTGGGAGAAAAATTGTGTTGGGATTATAATTGAAGTGATAGAATGAGAGTAGATTGTCACCGTCTTCCTCCTGAATACTCCTGCATCAGTACCTTCTGAGAACCCCATTATGCGACAGATAGAAACATCCGTGGATGAGGGGCCAGTGACTCATCTTAGTCCGTGGATTGACTCTGACCCCTCTCACCTCACTTGGTGATAAAGTGTGCTGGGTACTTCACATGGCCAACCCCAGCACCCAGAAAGCAATTTTATAAAGGTCAAACTATACCAACTTCTGTGAGACCAAATATGCAGGACCTTTCAACACACGTTACCAGGTATTTGTGATTTTCAACAAAAAAACGAGGGAGCCTTACAACTATTCCTCTTTTCACTTGTGAGAAGCTATACTTTGATCCAGTTTTTACTTTAAACTCAGACAGCTGGAATTTGGGTCTGCTGACTGCTTCCATTTAAGTCAATAATTAAATCCTAATGACTCAACGCTGCTTCACCCTCAGTCTGGAACATGTTCTTCCAATTACCCACCATTCCTGGCTGCCTTTCCCCTTGGTAGTGGAATCACTGGCTGGTTACCGGGTTCCACCTCCTGGAGCCAGGTTTTCTAGAACATGCAGCCCCTCCAATCTCCCTCTCTTCTGCAGCCTTGGCCCCTGTTTGTGCTTCTCCTGCATTCTTAGCCATTCAGTAGGTGCTTCTGGTATGTCCCAGTCTCCAGACAACCCATGGCCCCACTGTCCGTTCTCGGTAGTTCTCATTTTAACATGATGGAACTTTCTCACATAATCTGCTCCCTCCTTATCCAGAGGTAACATCACCTGCTAATTCTGGCATTTTCCACCTTCTCTCGTCCATGCCTAACAACCTCCCAACCATCAGTTCCATCTCTCGCCATTGTACTTCCTAACTAAAATTATTTTTTTTTATTTTTTTATTTATTTATTTATTTATTTTTTTTATATATGAAATTTATTGTCAAATTGGTTTCCATACAACACCCAGTGCTCATCCCAAAAGGTGCCCTCCTCAATACCCATCACCCACCCTCTCCTCCCTCCCACCCCCCATCAACCCTCAGTTTGCTCTCAGTTCTCAACAGTCTCTTATGCTTTGGCTCTCTCCCACTCTAACCTCTTTTTTTTTTTTTTTTTCCTTCCCCTCCCCCATGGGTTCCTGTTGAGTTTCTCAGGATCCACATAAGAGTGAAACCATATGGTATCTGTCTTTCTCTGTATGGCTTATTTCACTTAGCATCACACTCTCCAGTTCCATCCACGTTGCTACAAAAGGCCATATTTCATTTTTTCTCATTGCCACGTAGTATTCCATAGTGTATATAAACCACAATTTCTTTATCCATTCATCAGTTGATGGACATTTAGGCTCTTTCCATGATTTGGCTATTGTTGAGAGTGCTGCTATGAACATTGGGGTAAAAGTGCCCCTATGCATCAGTACTCCTGTGTCCCTTGGATAAATTCCTAGCAGTGCTATTGCTGGGTCATAGGGTAGGTCTATTTTTAATTTTCTGAGGAACCTCCACACTGCTTTCCAGAGCGGCTGCACCAATTTGCATTCCCACCAACAGTGCAAGAGGGTTCCCGTTTCTCCACATCCTCTCCAGCATCTAGAGTCTCCTGATTTGTTCATTTTGGCCACTCTGACTGGCGTGAGGTGATATCTGAGTGTGGTTTTGATTTGTATTTCCCTGATAAGGAGCGACGCTGAACATCTTTTCATGTGCCTGTTGGCCATCCGGATGTCTTCTTTAGAGAAGTGTCTATTCATGTTTTCTGCCCATTTCTTCACTAGGTTATTTGCTTTTCGGGTGTGGAGTTTGGTGAGCTCTTTATAGATTTTGGATACTAGCCCTTTGTCCGATATGTCATTTGCAAATATCTTTTCCCATTCCGTTGGTTGCCTTTTAGTTTTGTTGGTTGTTTCCTTTGCTGTGCAGAAGCTTTTTATCTTCATAAGGTCCCAGTAATTCACTTTTGCTTTTAATTCCCTTGCCTTTGGGGATGTGTCGAGTAAGAGATTGCTACGGCTGAGGTCAGAGAGGTCTTTTCCTGCTTTCTCCTCTAGGGTTTTGATGGTTTCCTGTCTCACATTCAGGTCCTTGATCCATTTTGAGTTTATTTTTGTGAATGGTGTGAGAATTAACTTCCCAAGACCCTAGCCTGCTGTTTTTACCACCTCAAGTCAATAAATCTAATGTCCATTTCACATTATACTTCCAAGTAAGCCTAATGCAGTGAACAGCCATAGACTTTGAAATCAGAAAGATCTGGATTCAGATCTACATTATAGCACTTACTAACTCTGTAAATTTGGACAAGAAATTAGTTTCATTATTTCATTCAATACCCATTTACAGCACATGGCAGGAGTGAAGGAGAGCTGCAATGCAGTTAATAATGAGACAGTTGTGGCTTTGTTGCTACAGAGAGGACTTGGGGCATAGCCTGGCATGGTAAAAAAAAAAGGGACGCTAGGCCTTGGCCTCCACTCCCTCCTGGTGGGTTATGAAGGATATTTTAGAATTGTTTCTCTTAAAAGTGGTAGATTAAAAGAAATCTGTCTCACGAAGCTTTATTGGTAAATTGCATACCCCATAAGAAAGCAGCAGGAAACTCATAACAAGCAATATGTAAATACTCCCCTCTCCTTCCCTTCCACGGTGGTAAAACCCCCTTCTCTCTTCACACCAACTTCCTATTCCTCCCACATCCTCACTTCTCCTGAATCTGCTTTATTCTAAGTGTAGTCTTTGGTTCTGGGGAAGGAAATGAAGACAACTGCAGGAGAATCGAGACTTTATTCAGGGCTGGTTATGGCAAAGCAGTCAGCCACCATCACTCGTGTTTTGGCAGAGACTCAAAGGCAGGTAGAGGATCTGGTGAGCTTTCTAGTGGAAAAAGGGAAGCCTTTAGGTGTGCCCTGCTAGGGCCCTGGTAGGGGGTGTTGGCCTAGGGGAAGCTGGAGGCTGGCCAGCTTCTAGAATCAAGACTTCTGCTTGGGCCTGAGTTGGAAGTAGGGACAAAAATTAGGGAAGCTGGTAGTTATTAATCAAGTCCCAGCCATTTGGAGCACAAGGTTACAGGAGTTATTGTTTGGTGTCTTGGATTGTTACTAGAAAGAGCCTGACTTCCTACGAGCCTGCCTTACTGCTGGCTGGCTTCCTGGGCTGGTTATTGTAGGTGAGAGGTTGGTGTCTTGGTCAGGCTGCTGCAGCTTGTGGGGTGGAGTCTAGTTTTTATATACATGGTCTTGCCATTGTTCATTTGCATATTTAATCTCCCAGTTCTTAGAATCTCTTTCCATACCAGCCCCATTTGTTTTAATTTTCTTCTTCTCCATCTGCTAGACCATGGCTGGTGTGTCCGTGATGCTTGATGCAGAATCCTAACGTCTTCACCTGCCTCCTTGGATCTCTTGCTTCAGCCACCCTGCCAGTCCTTCTGCCGGTTGACTCCTGATTCCACCCATCCTTGTCCTCAGAGAAGCCTCAGCCATAGCTCCAGTCCTATTACAGCCTGTTGAGGAGAGGGAGTTGCACTGTGCTTTAGTCCCAGGTTTCCCCAGACAGGGGTGCCCCTGGCGAGAGAGGAGGGATAGTTTGGAGATGTACCACTGCGTATGGTGGTGCTGATGCAGACATGGTGGGGGACACCTCCTCCTGCAGAAAGCTCCCAGTAGTATGCCAATCTCAACTTAGTGCCTCTGCACAAAAGTGTATCTCTTCGTCTCCCGACCTCCTTCTCATCTTGGCACCGAGCTCCCTAGACTCTAGCTCGGGGGGGGGGGCACTAAACAGGATCACATGATGCTTACTTTCCAGGTACCATTTACCTCCCTGGCCTCCAGTTTCCTCTTTATGTTTTCTCCTTCTGGTGTCATTATTGTGAAGAGTGCTTGCTGCCTGCTCATTTCAACCTTTGCTGAGATCTTGCTGCCTTGTAATT